GGCTTCTCTCCTTAGGTGGGAGCCACCTGGGGTGCAGCCAAGGGTCCCGCACTGTGGGCGGTGTGGCTACAGCACTAACATCCCCTCCCACAGAATCTCCACACACTGCCATTCGACTGGCACCCACCCAATTGGTGGGTTCTCAATGGCGTTCCATTGAGAAACGCCAAGCAAACTCTCTTACGAGAGCAGCTTCCCCGAGACTGGGAACCAGTGGCAACCCAGCTTGACTGTCCCCTATGATCCGTCCCTTTCTCTCCAGTGACTAAGCTGTCTTTACACTGAGTTCAAGCTAAGAGCCTATTGTTACCTTTGTAATTTGGACATCAAAAGGGAATGTAACCTGATTTTATGTAGTATGGAAGGTCTTGGACATACTATAACTAAACTGTAATTGCAATTAATGTGTTACTTTAGAAGTAACCTAATTTCATGGAAAATTTGGTGGCTTACAATAAAATAAGGAGTTAATAGCCGTTGCCAAAATGTCTAGCTACTCATCCATTGGGTCTTATCTGATAAGTCACTTCCTTAGGGAAACCTTCCCTGACCAGAGAAGGGCTTGTGTTGCCCTCCTTACTTCTACATAATACTTATAAGAACTAATACTGATATAATTGTGTATTTAAGTAGTGTAGATAAAATAGGTTATGAACATTTTTAACCTTTTTTTTAATACTATATAAGTAATATGTGAATACATGCTAATTGTAATGAAATTCAAACAACATATATACACACTTATAAAAGTTATGGTCTTATATATGTAAATTATGGCACAATAAAGCTATTTTTTAAAAAGCTATGGTGCCCCTTCACAACTCCACACCAACCTAGTACCAACCATTCTTCCCCCCCCCCGTTATAAAGCCCCACTCTTAACAGTTTCATGTGTAAACTTCCAGATCTTCTTCTATGTATTTTTATGCATATATATCATTATGCATATGTATTTTCATACATATATATTTGGATAAAAGTCACATATTTGTGTTTTCATACATATATGTTGTATACATACATTCCAAGTGCAGTCAGAAGGCAAAAGCCATGCTAGATATTGCAAGCAGAGGGAATTTAATACAGGTGATGGAAGAGTTGAGAGGACAGAGACTAGCAGGAAACCACTGTCAACCTGAGGCTGGAGGGACAGAGGGAGAAAGCAGAGTCACTAGAGCCATCTGGAAGAATTGGGAACCATGGCAGCCCTTCCAGCTCAAGCTGGAATCATGGAGGAAGGGGCTGTCCAGCAGGGAGTGCAGACATGGATGAGATGCTGCCAGAGACCATCTGAAGCAGGGAGAAGGGGAGACACAGCCTAGCTTCTTCCCTACCATTCTCCAGTGTCCATCACTGGCTCTCTCTGGCTCAGTCTGGACATGAACCTGGAAAAATGTAGTTCCCAAAGATGCAAAGCCCAGAGAGAGGATGGTCTGGAATAGATCTGAGAGCAAACAAACAAAAAGCCAGCATATGAAGTTTAAAATAAAATACAGAAATAGCATCATGGCATATGGCATATGTAGTGTTCTAAATTTATCACTTACCATTTTTACAGAGATAAGATCTGGTTAAAACGGCCATTGAGAGCAGGCTTGATCCACAGAATGAAGGGGACAGCAGGAGAGCACAGAGGTAGGCAGCAGAAGGCAGGAAGCAGCAGAAGTACACTCCCAGCACAAGGAAAGCCATGCCTGAGAATGGCAGCTCCAGGGGCTGTGGTGGGTGCAGCTCCCGTTCCTTGCGAGGCAGGCCTGACCTGCTCTGCACAGTGGGAAGAGGGCGGGGGTATGGGCTGCTTGTTGCCCAGGAGTAGCATCAAAGACTCAGAGATTTTTAGAGCCTGGAGGAAACTTAGGTCTCCCATTTCAACTCACGACTTCTGCAGAATAAGGAACTGAAACGCAGAGAAGAGATGGACCCAGCAGCCCAAAGAAACTCAAGTCAGTTTTTTGTCATTTTTTGGTTTTGGGGACATGATGGAGGAAGTGTTGGGGACAGTTTAGCACCAATGCCTCCTCTTCCTGCTGTGAGTCAATCAATGGGCAGCCTAGCAGAGAAGGCGTGATGAGAAATGAGGAGCTCTGAAGACAATCGCTCTCCTATGTCCTGTGTTAGACACAATGCTAGGCACCTGGCGTGTCTTAGGAAGGGATTCACCAAAGAACATCTTTTCCTTAGAAACTCCCTTAGTCTCCAGGGTCTCGTTTTAATTGCCTTTGGTATAATTTTGGAGCCTTCAATAGGTCTGTGCTAGATACAAAGATGAGTGAAATACAAGTATGAATAAGCCATGTACCATGTACTTAGAACTCCAAGCGTTCTAAGCCTCCCAGGGAATCAGAAGTGAATATAAATTATTATGATGCAATGTGATAAACAGAATCATGCCTGAAGCTCAAAAGAGGGAGTGAGTAATTGCTGGGGGAGGCGAGTGCAGGTAGGTAGGTGGATGGAGAAGGCTTCACAAAGGCAACATCAGAGAAGGTGTTGAAGGAGGAATAGGAGCTCTCCAGACCTCCAACTCCAATGTTATATAACAGGGTTAGACCACCCTTCCCCCAAAATGCCACTATTATTCCTCAAGGATTTACACGGCAACGGTTCTTGTCCCATCTACCTCTCATTACATAATAGAAAACACACACACACACACACACACACACACACACACACCCCATTTATGAAAGTACATGATAGCTAAAGTGAGTCCACTGCCCCATCAGCTATGATCAGTGGGGGCAGATCAAGACGCTCAGAGACTCTGAGCACTGAGAAGTTGGGTGCTCCCACGTGTAATTTATATTGAACAATGCCATCAGACAAATGCCTGTAAGGAAGTCCAGCAAAGTTCTGGTTTTTCCTACAGTGACACCTTTTATATGTTTTGGAAAATATCAGCTAGCCAACTACTACGCATGTAATGTTAGTCTGATTACTTTAGTGCCCCTGCTTTGCCGGTGCCCGCCGTGTGCTTGGCCCGCCTGTGGGTGATCCTGCACTGAGGAGGCAGCCCCTTCCCGCACGGGAAAGCCCAGGTGAGATCAGTCTCAACAAGTGCACGGCCTTCAAGTTGTTCTTTCACTTCCGCCTAGAGTGCGTGTGTTATGACTTTGTTCTTTATCTCCTTCTGTCAGATACTCAGCTTGCAACCCAGGAAGGCCACCTGAAGGTTTGGTGGTCTGGTTAACCGTAAAGAAAGGCTGATGTGAGAAGCAGTTTCCTTATACTGAGCTGAGTGACTTGTAGCACGAGAAAGACCATGCTACAGTGAGGCATTTATGAGCACAGGCTTTTACAGACATGGGCTGGGTTCAACATTTGCTCTTTCACTAAACTATGTGATGTTGGGCAAGTTACTTTACACCTGTAAGCCCAGGTTTCATCATCTAAAAAATGTGCTTAATAGGTCGGGTGTGCATGGTGGCTCATGCCTGTAATCCTAGCACTCTGGGAGGCCAAGGCGGGCAGATCGTTTGAGCTCAGGAATTTGAGACCAGCCTGAGCTGGTCTCTACTAAAAAAGTAGAAAGAAATTGGCTGGACAACTAAAAATATATAGAAAAAATTAGCCAGGCATGGTGGCGCATGCCTGTAGTCCCAGCTACTCAGGAGGCTCAGGCAGGAGGATTGCTTGAGCCCAGGAGTCTGAGGTTGCTGTGAGCTAGGCTGATGCCATGGCACTCACTCTAGCCCAGGCAACAGAGTGAGACTCTGTCTCAAAAAAACAAAAAAAAAATGTGCTTAAAAATAGCACCTACACCATGAGGTCATTTGTTGAACAAATATTTAACATAGTCCTACTATGTGGCAGGCTCTATCCTTGAAGAGGGAGATACAGCAGTGAGCAAACAAAATCTCTGCCCTAGAGCTCACATTCTAGTGGAAGAAGATAGACAACAAAAATAAATAAATAGATCATATGTCATGGTAGAAGGGAAAGGGGCAGGGAGCGTAGGGAGGGTTCCTATTGTAGGTGGAGTGAGGTGACCTTGTGGATAGGAGGGTGATCAGGGGAATGGCCCTCCAGACGGAGGGAACAGCCTACGCAGAGGCCCTGAGGCAGGCGCAAGCCTAGTATGTTTGAGGAACAGAGAGTCCGGCCGCAACCACGAGAGCAGTGTGGCAGAGTGGAGGGAAATGAGGTCAGAGAGTAGGAGGCTGGAGGGTGTTGAGCAGAGGAGTGGCATGACCTGGCTTGTATTTTAATAGGATCTCTCGGCTGCTGGGTTGAGAATAGACGCTGGAGGCCGAGGGCGGAGGCAGGGAAACCAGTTAGGAGACTACCGCAGTGATCCCGGTGAGAGACGATGCACGTGACGTCCTCGCCTCGGCGCCTGGCATGGAGCCCGCTCTGGATGAGGGCCCATTAGCATCCTGTCATGACCCGGATCCACACTCACATACCCGGCAAAGGAAGATCACGGATTTGTTCTCTGTTCTGCATCTTTCTCAGCCATCCTTCTACTACCATCATCGTCCCCTTCCTTAATCACTCTCTTCCCCCGTTCTCCTCTTTTTGTGTCCTCACCCTGTTGTCTTGGTTTTGTTACTCTCATGAATAGTTTGCTTTTCCAGGGCACAGTTTGGGGGGTTTAACTGGAATCTTGGGGAGAGAGTAGCGAGCCTTTTGGCATGCAGTCCCCAGGGTCATATTCCACAGGACGCTTGAGGAGGACAAGGGAGCAGAAGAGGGGGCCTGGCGTGGAAGGCCAGAGAGGTGGCTCTGCCGTGCAAACTGCACAGATGCCACAGCCAGAGCGCTGGCCCCCTGTTGGCATGCAGCTGGGAGAAGAGAAGCCTCTCCTGGTATTTCAGGTAATAACTTGAAAGAATGAGAAGGTAAGGGGCTCAGATACTGGCACTGCCACTGGATGGGCTGGAGGAGTGAAGATCAAAAGGTCTTTTTCAGGAAATCAGGAGGTACAGGCTTGGTAGAGAAGCCACCACCGATAATGCCACACCCACAGCACCGAAGCACGAGGTTCAGAAGGATCCTCATTGATCCTGGGCACCACGTTGGTGTCACAATCCCAGGTGAGTTGTCACAGTGGGCAGTAGGCGAATTCCCAGAAGCCATTCTGACACTGAGACTACTAGCAATGGCTTAAATAGACACCGAAGTGTCTCTGAATCACATAAATACACTCCACTAAAGTCAAACTAAATGTGTTCCCAATTCAACTTCCCCTTAGCCGGACCCCAAGAGACCCCTGGCCACTCTAATCCCTCTGACAAGGTGATAGAAGGGAAGTCAGAGGGGAACAAGACAGCAGCCTTGACTAAGTGTGATTTAAAGTATCCTACTTTTGCCAATTTTACAAAAACATGTGACCCTGCATACACATTGCAAGGGCCCCTCCCAGTGCTTTGGAAGGGAGTCCACAAGGGAGAGCTCCTGAAACTTAACCCTTGCAAGGAATATCAACCTCAGCCTGGAACAGAAGTAATTTACCTTCATGGCCAGAGACTGATTCTATCACAGGAAGGGGATTCGGGCAAGCGCGAAGGATTTCCTTGGGCATTGTTCGTAGCAATAATGTTTTATTCCTCTTGGAAGTTGCTAATACTACCACCGGATGATTTATTAATATAATTTGAATTAGTAGATAATGAGCCACTTTTCGTAGTCTTTACACTCTGACTTCTGAATCACGCCCTTTTAAATCAGTACTTTCCCAAGCTCATTCACTCAACAAAAATGTATTGGGGGCACATTATGTGTGGGGACCGCGCTGAGCCCCAATGGGGAGGAGACACATAATGAAATAATCAGGCGAGTATATAATTACAGGACTAGGGAGGAAAAGTTCAGGGTCCTACTGGGAGCAGAACCGGGGGTCCTAACCTAGCAGGGGTGACAGGAAAGATTGCGATATCTGAAAGAGTCATTCTTTCAGCTATTGTCTTTCAGTGCCTGCTCTGTGCCCACACAGTGCTAGGGGCTAGAGTAATGATGGGCAAAAGCTGCAGAGTCCCTGCCCTCCTAGAACTGGTTCCTGGAGGAGACACTGTCACAGAATCAGATTGTGTCTACCTGTAAATGACAATCTGATAGTGGCCTCCATGAAGGGGCCTCGCAGGTGCATGGGTAAGCATAAGCCAGGAAGGTTGATGACTGACAACGCAGCAGGGGTAGGTTTTCTGAAGGTGGCCACAGGGCCCTGAGAGCCAGGGGCAGATTGGAGAGGCGAGAGGGCTTCTGGGAGTCTTCAGGGCCAAATGAACCTCATGAGGGAAGGTGTGGAGAGGGGAGAGAGCACACGGGAGGGAGAAAAAGACGCAGAGAGACCTGCGTGGCTAGGGTGACTCTGGGGCAGAGTACAGATAAATAGTTTAGCCTGGTGTGCCTAAAACTGACTGGAGCCCCAGAAAGGTTCCTTGGCAGCGGAGAGACAGCCCAATTGGCATTTAAATGGAGCGTTCTGGCTGCAGCGAGAATATTGGATTACAAGGGTTGCTTTGGCAATAACTGCATCCTAATTACTTCCCCCTTTCTCACTTTCTTTTCCGGTGGCCACGGAGATTTAAATAAATGCATGCCAGATACACAGTTTAAAGCATGCCAACAATGAGGGCTGTGTGGCTTGGAAAAGAGCACACTACTTTCAGTCAGGCAGATGCGGATTAGATTGCCCTCCACCTCCAGGCAGCTGGTGGCCCTGGCAGGTCACTCACCCTCTCTAAAACCCACCTCCACCTAGTCTACAAAATGGGGAGAATGATGCCTACTCCACTGAGTTGTATGAGCAATAGAAAGGGCGCGTGCAAATTACCTGGCATTTGGCAGGACTCAGTACGTTCCAGCTGTTATTGGAAGTAATTGCAAGGTTGTCAAGCTAGTGAAAAGAAGATTACTAACCTAAAGCTCTACTAGCAAAAGCACTGGGGTTAGAGCACAGTCTCTCCTACTTAAAAAATATAAATATGTATGTATATATAATATAATTTATTATATTTTTTATAGATTGCTGTCCAATGAGATCTTCCTAATACTAGTGCTAGAAAACAAGTGTATATTACTTATTTGATTAAACTGTATACATATATACAATAAAGTTTTAAAATTTTCTCAATGAATCATATTGTTCATGAATTGCCAAGCTAGTAAGAGGAAGATTACTAACCAAAACCTCTACTAGCAAAAGCACTGCGATTAGAGCACAGTCTCTCCTATTTAAAAAATATACATATATAAACATATATGTAAATATAATTTATTATATTTTTTACAGATAGCAGTCCAATGAGATCTTCTTAAATACTAGTGCTAGAAAACAAGTGTATATTACTATACGATTAAACTATATACATGTATACAATAAAGTTTTAAAATTTTCTCAATAAATCATATTGTTCATGAATTGCCTTATATTTGGCCTTTTCCTATTTACAGTTATTCCCTGGAGAAACTGAATTCATTTGCTAGACTATTTATCCCCCAGATGAAATGATATTAGCTTCCCAAGAATAATTCTATTTATCTCTCTTTCTCCAGAACCTATTTGAGAGCCTGGCACTAAGTAGTAGGTGCTCAGTAAATAACTTGCAGAATGGAAAAATAGATAAAGAGCAAATGAATAAATTTTACTTATGAATTTGGCAACTATATTTTATGAACTAAAATCAAGACCCGCTGTCTGTTCTACTGAATATGAGTGTCTTAGAACTTGTCATGGAATATTTAAAATCCAGACTGTCCTGGAAAATTCAGGATATATGATCCACACATATCCTTAAATAGCTGAACATCTTTTAAAGGAGCTACAATAAGAGGCTATAAGAAGCTCCACCGTGGGCTTGTGTTACATTTATTTTTGAGCTTAAAAATTGTTCCAAGTGCTGTGTTCACAGTGGAAGGAACAATCGAGAAGATTAAAGGACTTCTGTTTACCCATGACACAGGACTCAGGATCAGCTTTTCTCTTATCTCACTCACTATAATTAGTTGCCTTGATCAGACCTTCACTGGCACAAAAAGAGCAAGTGAAACAGCCATACATTTTGTTTGTTAAGCACAGCTGAGGCTGGCTCAACAGAGTGGCGATTCAAAAGAGGGGAATAAAATATGCAGCAAAGTTGGGAGGCTGGGAACAAAGAGTCCAGTATGACAATTTACAGGAAAGCTAAACAAGCATTCAAAATGCCATCAAGAAGGTAAAAAAAAAAAAACAAACCCTCAAGAATCTAGAAAAGAGATAAATGGGAGAAGAAAGCTTGAGCGGAGTTGGAAGGACTATTTTAAAATCATGAAGAAATTTAAGACTTTGCTTTAAAGGAGTATTTTTAAAAGTCAGCTTTAATTTATATACAATAAAATTCACCCTTTTGGTATATAGTTCTATGAGTTCTAACCATTGCATATAGTTGTGTCGTTATCACCACCATCAAGATATGGAACAGTTTAATTGTCTCAAAATTCCCTCTTGCCCCATTGTAACTAAGCCCTCCCTTGCCCTTAGCACTTGGCAATCACCAATCCGTTTTCTATCCCTCTAGTTTTGCCTGCTTTAAAGGAATTTAATAGCAGAACTTAAAAGCGATGGAAAAAAAGGAACTGAGATTTCTTTTTCCCTACCACTCACTCACTTCCTACGCCATTCAACAGCATCATTTAGTGAATTTATAGTTATTAAAGATCTATTTGCCAAAGATTTTGCAAACACTGTCTTTCATTTTCATAGCTTGTCTGTGAGGGGGGTGTTACACCAATTCCTACATGAGAAATGAGACTCAAAGAGGCGTCAAGCTGGTAAGACACAGAACAGAGATTTAAAACCAAGGTTGATGAAAATGTTACCAGGGCTTATCTCTGCATGTTAGACTATGGCTGATTTGTACTCTCGTTCATATATATATATATATATATATATATATAATATTATCACAGTTTTTGACAAAGAGCTTATATCACTTTTATAACCAGAAAAAATTGCTTTTATAAATAATATGTAAACACAGACTCTATACAAACACACAAAGTCTGATTCCAAAGCCTATTCTCTTTGCTGAGCAGAGCAGGAAAAGGTAGAAGAAACCTAGAAGGAAACAGAAGCAGAGGCTCCTCTTTGCCAGTGGCACCTATTCAGAAGTGAGAAACCAGAATCAAATGTACCGAAAGAACCAGAGCATAGCTCTGCTGTTTCCAGAACTCATCACAGCCTAACAGCTCCACTTTCAAAAACTTCTGAGCACAAATGTTCTTCCAGAGTGTTGAAGATGAGTCTGGAGGCCTATCAACCCACGGAGAGCACTCCAGACCTACAGACGGTCCTCCCAAGCACCTTCCTGTCTTGTCTCACATCTCCAGAAGGCCCAGCAGGAGCAAGCTAATCATCATCACGGGCAAGTCAGTGCCTGGTAGCCTGTCACCACTACTGAAAAAACAGGAAAATCAATAATGACGCCAAAGCCAAAGGGAACACAGATCAAAACACAGGTCATATTTGAATTCAGAAAACAATCCATAGAATAAGGCAAAATATTTGCAAAACATACATCTGATAAAGAATTGGTATCTAGAGTATGTAAAGAGCTCATATATCTCAAAAATTAAAAAAAAGAAAACAATTTGGATTGACTCAAACACTTCACGAAGGAAGATACATAAATGGCCCATAAGCACTTTAAAAGATGCTCGACATCATTAATCATTAGCAAATTGCAAATTAAAGCCACAGTACAATACTACTACCCACAGGAATGGCTAAGATAAAAACAAAAAGATTGACTGACTATACTAAATGTCAAGAGAACATAGAACAACCTGAACTTTCAGTCACCACCGATGGTGCAACCACTTTGGGAAAATGTCTGACAATTTCTTATGAAACTAAACATACACCTACCCTGTGTCCCAGCAATTCCTCTCCTAGGTTTGTGGCCAAGAGTTACGAAAGCATTTCCATTGAGATTTACACAAAATCTTTAATTGCTAAACAAACTGAGATATAATCATACAAGGGGATACTACTCAGTAATATAAAGAAACAAATTCTGATAAACATAACTAGTGTGGATGAATCTTTAAAACATTATGCTGAGTGAATATAAAAGTACAAACTGTGTGATTCCATTTATATGAAGTGCTAAAATGGGCAAAACTAGTCTATGGTGAGAGAAAAATCAGAACAGTGGTTACCTCTGAGGTTATGAGAATGAGAGAAGGGACATGAGGACATTTTCTAGAATGATAGTAATATTCCGTATCCTCATAAGAATTTATGTTATAAAAATGTTTCCATTTGTCAAAAATCATTGAATGTTACACTTAAGATACTTTGCTGTATACAAGTTTTACCTCACTAAAAAAAAAACAACACACACACACACACACACAAAACGAAGAAGAACTGTATGTAATCAAATATTGAAACCTAGTTAATGATATACATACTAAAATGTTTCGAGGTAAAGTGTATAGATGTTTGCAGCTTCCTTTGAAATATAGCAAAAAATAAAATGGATTGATGATTGAATAGAGGGATGGCTACATGAGTAGATACATGATAAAGCAAGTACAGTGAAAGGTTGTAGAGTCCAGATGGTAGGTATATGGGTGTTAACTATAAAATTCTTTCATCTTTTCTGGATATTTGAAAGTTTTTATAATGAAATGTTGGGAAAATTAGGTTAAGATTTGGGAGAAAGGAAAAATGAAGGTCAGATAAAAAAACAAAAAGGTGAAGCTGATGTGAGAACATTATGAAGAACGACAGATCTGTCTTTGAGTTTTCTAAGAGCCAAAGCAGAAAAAGGACAGGGGCCAGAGGGGGTGGGAGGGGAGCAGAAAAAGAAGAGGAAGAGGGAAGATAAAGAGAGAAGAAGAGAGATCTCAATTACATGACTAGCAATGCCCACATGATTAAATAAATTGTTCTAGTAAAGTACCTCTTTTCCTGATACTGGTAAGGTTTCATGAAGAGGAGACTGTACAGTGTGGATCTATTAGTTAAGTATGGGCTTGGCACAGAGACTTTACTCATTAAACAAGCAAGAAATTCATTTCTCTCTCACATAACAGACCACAGATAGTGCTCTGGAATAGTATGGTGGCTCTGTTCGAGGGACCACAAGGGAAAATAGGTGACTGGTGCTCCAAAATTCTACAGCATAGAAAATGGCTGTAATGACTTTATCCAGGAAAAAAAAAATTGCATCAAAAGATAGAAAGAACCTTGGAAAATTTCTAAGAAATAGGTTTTGTCACCTATCTCATTCATCACCAATGTATCCTGCTAAATCCATTCCTCTCTGAATATGTACCATATGTTAGGTACCATAGGGAATGATAATAATAGCTTTCTTATAGCATGTTTCAACAATTCTAAGATGCACAATTTTTTGGTACATTTTGACATTCCTAAAATCTGAATAGATCTTACAATCAATGACATATCATAATTGGTAGAATTTTTTCTTTCTTAATGTAGACAAACAATATAATTGTGTTTCTTAAAATCAATGACATCTTAAATTTACTGAAACACAATATCTAATGCTTCATAGTTTAAAGTATTTTCATCTTATTGGAGCCTCACAACAACATATTTTGGTGAGATGAGTAGTTATTCCTATTCTAAATATTAGCAATTGAGATTCAGAGACATTAAGTGACCTCTTCAAGGTGCTCAGCTAGAAAATGATAAAGTCATAACTCTAAATATACTGTTTTTTCCCGATATCACACAAAATTATTTAGAGACTGAAAACTCCATGGAAACAAGAACTTTGTTTTATTCACTCCAATGGTACTAGCATATAGAGAACACAGCTCTGGATATAGTGAGTATTTTATCACCTATTCCATGATGCCTACCTCAGGTTAAACCAAACATATTTGCTCCCTAATGACTTGAAAGGCAACCTAGTATAGTGCAAAGCATACTGGTTTTTGCAACGAAGACCTAAATTTAGATCCCTTCTGATTTTAACCACCTACTAGCATAAGCATTGGGAGAGATTATATAACTTTCCTGAGCCTCAATTTTCTTGTCTGCAAATTGAGAATAATGAAACCTATCAGATTATATTACTGTGAGGCTTAAGTGAGACCAGACATGTGAATGCACCTGCACATAGTCGGATCTCCATAGCATCGTTCCTTTCTTTTCCCTCCACCATGTTCTACTTGAACTTGGGAAACACTTCATTTTTGCACTTCACATTTTCTCCCCAAGAAACTGTGAATTTCTAAAAGAACATGGCTTGGTTCATATCCACCACTCCAGA